AAAAAAAGAAAAAAAAAATCAATTATGAATAAATTTAAACTTTTATTCAGCAAGGATGCATTAAATTGAGTAAAATTATAAATGTCTTTATTATTTAAAATAAATGCTGTTCTTTATGTTCATCAAAGAATCGTGAAAAATATATCACTTTTTCCACAAAAAAATTAAGCAACACAATTGTTTTTAACATTGATAATAATAAGAAATGTTTCTTGAGAAGCAAATCAGCATTAATTAATTTCACATTGTAATAATATTTCACAATATTGCAGTTTTTATGGCAGCCTTGGTGAACATAATTATGGAAGCTTGTTTCCGCCACAAAACAAACAAACAAAAAAAAAACAAACAAAGGCACTGGTGACAGTTTCATCTCACAATTCTGACTTTATAATTCACAATTGTGACTTTTTTCTCAGAACGCGCAATTATCTTTTGAACGGTATCTTTTGAAGGGTAGTGCATCTTACAAATCAACAACAACAACAACCAGATAATGCTTGTCCCTGAAGTATTCAGGTTGTTTTTCTGTATATTTCTGGCCCATAATCTAAACTAACCTCTTAATAACAGGCTAAGAAATTAGTCTGGTTAAAACATGCAAACATCACACACACACACAACTAATAGGCCTATAATAATAGTCAGAGAACACATAAATGCACTCGCAAAAAGCAGTTAGCATGGTCTCACATTTCAGTGTTTGTATGTTTAGACTTGACAGCTCCACTTTTTTATATTTCCAACTTAAGCTCACTGTCACGCATCTCTCTGCCACCTCTTGCTTTTTCAATAGGACTTGTGTGGGCAAGATCACAGGTAACACCTTTCTTTCTCCAGTAACCAGAGATTTAAACCATGCATTCCTAAGTTCTGGAGTTCAAGGAAAGGTCTGTTAATGTTGGATTTTTAAATACATTCAAGACTTTGCAGAATTATTACCAATTGGGTGCAAATTAAACCAATTTTTTTCATATTGTGTGTGTGTGTGTGTGTGTGTAGATATGGGTTAAATAGTGAACATAACTCATAACACTCTAAAGACAAAGGTAAACTGCATCCATGGGGGATGTTTAAGACTAGACTATATGGAATTCGCCATGACCTAATCAGAAGAATTTTTACTATTGTTCATTTACAAGAAAAACACAACAAAACAAACGATCCACTGGCCAAATCAGCTTACATGCACATTTTACTTTCCACAGCGACTTGCATTGAGAGGAATCTTTGTTTGACATTATCCTTTGTGAAAAAAGGAAAAACATTATAAACACTTCCTATCACCTTTTGAGAAGGATGCACCTTTCTGTCTTTTCAAGTAAACTCTCTCCTCAAACTCTTGATGCACAGAACTTTTTACTCTCGGATCCATGTTTCTCAGCTTTGATTGTCTCATGATCAAAGGATCTGTTCTCAAACAGTTACCCTGTTTCTCTCTCTCTCTCTCTCTCTCTCTCTCTCTCTCTCTCTCTCTCTCTCTCTCTCTCTCTCTCTCTCTCTCTCTCTCTCTCTCTCTCTCTCTCTCTCTCTCTCTCTCTCTCTCTCTGCTGCTTTGAATCTCAAGAAGACATGTTGAGATGTGTTGGCAAATTCCATTTATTTGCCTGCGGGACTGCAGCATAAAGGAACATGCTGTGCCCCTGGTTATGTTTGCTGTCTTTGTTTTTCCTTTTTAATCTCTGCTATTTTGTATTCACATCTGGATAAGCAACACACACCACATCAACAAATGCATTGAGACTGCATGCAAACAATGCACTACCAAACAAACAGTTCCATCTGTAGTATTTGGACATACGTTTTACCAGATTCCACCTTTCCTTTCACTCCCTCTCTTTTAATTTTTTTTTTATTTTTTATCATCATAGTTTCTGTCTTTGTAACCCACTTTTGTTATTACTGTGTTAGCTATATAAAACATTTAAAAAGATAATACTACGAAAGAAAAGATTACATAACAAGGTTATTGAGAATCACTCCTGAAAGGATCTGTCGTAATCCTGGTTACTCCCTGTTTTCCAAGGAAAAAAATAGTCCCTTTCTTCACTGTAGATGGATGGATTTGCTAGTTAGCCTGTGGTGAAAGAGAAATAACATTCCTTTTCAGTAGCAAACTGTGTCTCGATCTGAAGATTTTAGCTTTTAATCACGCAGCTGGTCCGGCAGAAAAAATAATAATATAAAGCTTTAGAAGCCCAGCCTAGGCCTTTTCCTGTATACAACACATCCTTAATTTTTGTTTAATAAATAAATAAAATAAAAGCAGGTTTGTAAAATGTAAGTTTTTGAAGTTTTAGGTAATCTTTCACAAACGAAGAATAACACATCTTTTGTCTCAAAGGTGAAACAATGAACCTGAGATGGCACAGCATGTCGCCGACTATAGACACTATGAGTCCTTCTATTCTCACTCACATTAAATGAAAGACTGTGGTCCATCGAATATGTGAAACAAAGAAAAAGAAGTGGCAAACAATGCATGCATGCATGACAAGGAAAGCTGTAAGCAGTTCGCAGGATTGTCTGAATGGCTTTGGTCTAAAGGTGCAGCAAAGACTGCAGATGACTAACAAAAGAACCCCCCAAGCAGAGGTAACTGCAGATCACTGCCTCTTGGTGTGATCTTGCATAAACACAATGTCCTCATTTGCACAGAGCCTCACTTCCCCTCTTCTGAGTCTAGACGCTTTCAACACTTTGCATGATGCACTTAAGCACTTTGAACACTTTTCTCTGTCAGCATTTTCTATAACGATCGAGTCTTTTAATAGATCTACCATAGTACAAGAAAGCATGTTATTTCGCAAAAAAGAGAAAAAAAAAAATCAATAAAAGAGCAGAGATATCTTATTGACCAAG